AGTATAGAGAGTACCACTAACATACTCCTGGCACCAGTATAGAGAGTGCCACTAACATACTCCTGGCACCAGTATAGAGAGTGCCACTAACATACTGATGCCTCTCCTCACAGAGCTACATTTCCCTCTTAAGAAACTTAAGTTTTTCAATCTTTATCTCACAAAGTTTTGACTAACTTCAAACTTATAAAATTACTCAAGTCTCACAAGTAGACCTAAGGCCTTTAATCGGCTCCCTGATCAATCAGATTGTTGCTACGGTGATTGAAAAACCTACCAAGCTGACCAAACATTCTATTATAAGACTTTCGCCCTAATCAGTGCTTAATCGAATGTTTAAATAAGTCGGTGATAATATATAGGGAGAAACGTTGCTCTCCTACATGTGAGAAATGTGCAGCAACTCTGGGCGAAACGTTGAGGTGGTACCAATCAACTTACGGTGACAGCAGTTATTTGGAATTTTACCTCAGTGGTAATTAATTTTAACACAATAATCCTTGCCCATGTTAATGTTGACACACGAGTGGGGCCACACCAGGGGCCCCACCAGAGGCCACACCTATACCAGGAGCCACACCAACACCAGGAGCCATAGCAACACCAGGGGTCCCACCAGAGGCCACACCTACACCAGGAGCCACACCAAACCAGGAGCCATAGCAACACCGGGGCCCCACCAGAGGCCACACCTACACCAGGAGCCACACCAACACCAGGAGCCATAGCAACACCAGGGGTCCCACCAGAGGCCACACCTACACCAGGAGCCACACCAACACCAGGAGCCATAGCAACACCAGGGGCCCCACCAGAGGCCACACCTACACCAGGAGCCACACCAACACCAGGAGCCATAGCAACACCAGGGGCCCCACCAGAGGCCACACCTACACCAGGAGCCATACCAACACAGGAGCCACCAACACCAGGGGCCCCACCAGAGGCCACACCTACACCAGGAGCCACACCAACACCAGGAGCCACACCAACACCAGGGGCCCCACCAGAGGCCACACCTACACCAGGAGCCACACCAACACCAGGAGCCATAGCAACACCAGGGGCCCCACCAGAGGCCACACCTACACCAGGAGCCACACCAACACCAGGAGCCACACCAACACCAGGGGCCCCACCAGAGGCCACACCTACACCAGGAGCCACACCAACACCAGGAGCCATAGCAACACCAGGGGCCCCACCAGAGGCCACACCTACACCAGGAGCCATACCAACACCAGGGGCCCCACCAGAGGCCACACCTACACCAGGAGCCACACCAACACCAGGGGCCCCACCAGAGGCCACACCTACACCAGGAGCCATACAACACCAGGGGCCCACCAGAGGCCACACTACACCAGGAGCCACACCAACACCAGGGGCCCCCACCAGAGGCCACACCTACACCAGGAGCCACACCACACAGGGGCCCCACCAGAGGCCACACCTACACCAGGAGCCATACCAACACCAGGAGCCACACCAACACCAGGGGCCCCACCAGAGGCCACACCTACACCAGGAGCCACACCAACACCAGGAGCCACACCAACACCAGGGGCCCCACCAGAGGCCACACCTACACCAGGAGCCACACCAACACCAGGAGCCATAGCAACACCAGGGGCCCCACCAGAGGCCACACCTACACCAGGAGCCACACCAACACCAGGAGCCACACCAACACCAGGGGCCCCACCAGAGGCCACACCTACACCAGGAGCCACACCAACACCAGGAGCCATAGCAACACCAGGGGCCCCCCAGAGGCCACACCTACACAGGGAGCCATACCAACACCAGGGGCCCCACCAGTAGGCCACACCTACACCAGGAGCCACACCAACACCAGGGGCCCCACCAGAGGCCACACCTACACCAGGAGCCATACCAACACCAGGGGCCCCACCAGAGGCCACACCTACACCAGGAGCCACACCAACACCAGGGGCCCCACCAGAGGCCACACCTACACCAGGAGCCATACCAACACCAGGGGCCCCACCAGAGGCCACACCTACACCAGGAGCCACACCAACACCAGGAGCCACACCAACACCAGGGGCCCCACCAGAGGCCACACCTACACCAGGAGCCACACCAACACCAGGGGCCCCACCAGAGGCCACACCTACACCAGGAGCCCATACCAACACCAGGGGGGCCCCACCAGAGGCCACACCTACACCAGGAGCCACACCAAACCACCAGGGGCCCCACCAGAGGCCACACCTACACCAGGAGCCACACCAACACCAGGAGCCACACCAACACCAGGGGCCCCACCAGAGGCCACACCTACACCAGGAGCCACACCAACACCAGGGGCCCCACCAGAGGCCACACCTACACCAGGAGCCACACCAACACCAGGAGCCACACCAACACCAGGGGCCCCACCAGAGGCCACACCTACACCAGGAGCCACACCAACACCAGGAGCCACACCAACACCAGGGGCCCCACCAGAGGCCACACCTACACCAGGAGCCACACCAACACCAGGGGCCCCACCAGAGGCCACACCTACACCAGGAGCCACACCAACACCAGGAGCCACACCAACACCAGGGGCCCCACCAGAGGCCACACCTACACCAGGAGCCACACCAACACCAGGGGCCCCACCAGAGGCCACACCTACACCAGGAGCCCCACCAACACCAGGGGCCACAGAGGCCACACCTACACCAGGAGCACACCAACACAGGGGCCCACCAGAGGCCACACTACACCAGGAGCCACAACATATGGCACCAGAGTGTACACCAGGGACACTGGTCCTTTCAAGACAGTTGTGCAGGTGTTAGACACTGGTCTTTCAAGACAGTTGTGCAGGTGTTAGACACTGGTCTTTCAAGACAGTTGTGCAGGTGTTAGACACTGGTCTTTCACATATGCAACAGTTAGGTATCTTTATTTCGAAACGTTTCGCCTACACAGTAGGCTTCTTCAGTCGAGTACAGAAAAGTTGATAGAAGCAGAAGAGACTTGAAGACGATGTAATCAGTCCATCACCCATCGTCTTCAAGTCTCTTCTGCTTCTATCAACTTTTCTGTACTCGACTGAAGAAGCCTACTGTGTAGGCGAAACGTTTCATAATAAAGATACCTAACTGTTGCATATGTGTCTTACCTAAACAACCTGTCGGTATTTTATACCATTTTATTGTTCACTCTGTCAGACACTGCAACACAAGGGTATCTTGGTACAGACTTGGAACCACTTCAACAACCTCTACTAGTGATAATGGCTGGATTTGAGAGGGACCTGACCTCTCAATGTCTACATTCTTACTCTGCTAGTGACCTACGTCTCACCTCCTGGCGCTATATAAGGCTCCATCCTATCACTTCAACTCCATATTATTCCAGACAATGGAACAATACTCTTCTCCAGACTGAGGGACTGACCACCTCAAAACTTTAAGGGTGATGGACTGATTACATCGTTTTCAAGTCTCTTCTGCTTCTATCAACTTTTCTGTACTCGACTGAAGAAGCCTACTGTGTAGGCGAAACGTTTCGAAATAAAGATACCTAACTGTTGCATATGTGTCTTACCTAACAACCTGTCGGTATTTTATACCATTTTATTGTTCACTGGTCTTTCAAGACAGTTGTGCAGATGTTAGACACTGGTGTTTAAAAACAGTTGGAAAGAGGTAGGTCCTGCACCTACCATTCAACAGGTGTGTCCTCACTACACCACAGGGACACAACACTGGCTACTGCAGGATACTTTTGCCAAGAAGGATTTATTACCCAGCTCCTTCACGAGCGAAAGGTCTCGGACCTATCGTGACGAAACAGCAAGGGGTGCAAGAGACCTCTTCAATTTTGTAGTCTTTAAGGAGCTAAAATGGAATGGTATGCTTTCTACTGAAGTGGAATGAGTAACATTTAGATACAGTAGATATCTCTCTTGTGTAGGCGAAACGTGGTGGTTAATGAAGATGTTTAATGTGGGCGAAACGCTGGTCAATGAAGATATCCACTGCGTGTGTGCGAAAAGTGATGTTTAGTAAAGATATCCACTGTGTAAGGGAAACGTTGTGACGAATAAAATATATGCAATGTGTGAGTGAAACGTTGTGGTCAATAAGTGGTACAACCCATAGGAAAAAAGTACACTGTGTCAACAGTGTCCAGGAACTTACCACTAAAGTGAACACACACACACACATACACACACACACACACACACACACATACACACACACACACACACACACACACACACACACACACACATACGCACATACGCACACACACACACACACACGCACACACACACACACACACACACACACGCACACACACACGCACACACACACACACACACACACACATACACACACACACACACACGCACACACACACGCAACACACACACACACACACACACATACACACACACACATACACACACACACACACACACACACACACACACACACACACACACACCACGCACACACACACACACACACACACACACACACACACACACGCACACACACACACTCACACACACACACACACACACACACACACACACACACACACACACATACACACAGAAATTCCCCCCAAAGTAAATCATCAGTAAATTTCACAGAGGTCCCCACAGGCATCACAGCAGTAACAAATTTTCCTCTGTAATACAAAGAAACAAACAAAATCTCTGTTACTTTCTGAAATTAACTTATGATACCAGAGATAGATAGATAGACAGATAGATAAATAGACAAATAGAGAGAGAGAGAGAGAGAGAGAGAGAGAGAGAGAGAGAGAGAGAGAGAGAGAGAGAGAGAGAGAGAGAGAGAGAGAGAGAGAGAAGAGATGTTAGCACAGAAGTGGCAGTTATTAGAATTTACATCAAAAAACAAACCTCATGGAATAAGAGACGTTGAACTCGTGCAAGATGCATCTTCAATATACTGGGACATTGCCCACGTGTCTTATTCAACAAGGGTCGCCATGAAACTAACCTCTGCCAGGCCGTCAAATCTGGCGAAGAGTTCGTTGAGCATCTTGACCAGTTCTGAAGCTGTGTAGGTGGACGAGATGGCTGTGAAACCCACAATGTCTGCGAACAGGATGCTGGAGAGAGAGAGACGTGGATTAGTGAGGACACACACACGCACACACACGCACACACACACACACACACACACACACACACACACACACACACACACACACACACACACACACACACACACAATGAATCCTCAGTTACTACGAGCGTGAACCCAACGAGAGAGTAAGAGTGAGTGAGAGTCGCTGAGAGTGCAGTCAGCACTCTTATAAAGTCTAGAAAGTGCAATTTCTGCATAAATGAGATTGAAAAAATTACATAATAAATTGAATAGCATCTGGAAAGGCCTTCACAGCACGCAGAGTTTTATAAGAGGCCTTACTGTACATGGGTGAACATGGGAACGACAGACAGCACAGGACTTGGAAGTCTACACCGAGGCAACCTGCTGAAAAGAACTGTCTACTTTAAGGACTATCGTGTATTATGTAGGTGTTTGAGGCAAGGATAGTTAAGTGTGAGCGAGTGTCAGTGAAAGCAGTTTACCTACTAACACGTCACAGAGTAAACTGGAGACATGTGTCAGTCACCCTGTGATTACTGATGACACTTTCTCTATAACACTAGTCTATTATCACAGAAGTACGTCTTCTCTATAACACTAGTCTATTATCACAGAAGTACGTCTTCTCTATAACACTGACCTATAATTTAATAATATTAGTGATGTACATAACTTTATGCAACACCGAAACATTAATAAACTCAAACAATTATCTCCCAGAAGATTAAAAACTCCTGTAACAAAGCTATTAATTTTTTTTCAGTATTCTTTCTTGCACAGCTTTCTGAAACCTGGCTTCCCTAATGTTCACCTGATCAATCAGGCTATTGTTTGTGGCACACAGCCTCACATAAACACAAATGAGGGTGATGGGTCAGCACAGACTGCAGGAACGGAACAATACAAGTCTTCTTGAAGAGTGGAATAAGTTAGGATAGGTCACATTGACCTATAAAGAACGTATATTTAACCACACACAACTAAATTAGAAAAATGGACCAAGAAAAATGGAAAACGTGGAATAGTTGACGAGTATATTTGTTGGTGTGATAAAGTTGTGAGTTACTGGCGGTAGATAGTGAAACATGTGTAGTATTGTCCGTAGAGTTCCACACCCACGATACTCTGTGACGCTGCTAATATTGGTGTTAGCAGCAACATTATATGGTACGTTAGACTGAGACACGGTGCACCAGACTACGACACGGTGCACTGGACTACGACACGGTGCATCAGACTAAGGCACAGTACACTGGAGTACGACACGGTGCATCACACTAAGACATGGTGCACTGGAGTACGACACAGTACACCAGACGACACGGTGCACTGGACTACGACACGGTGCATCAGACTAAGACACGGTGCACTGGACTACGACACGGTGCATCAGACTAAGACACGGTGCACTGGACTACGACACGGTGCATCAGACTAAGACACGGTGCACTGGACTACGATACAGTGCAATAAACAATGACAAGGTGCACCAGACGACGACACTTTGCATTTGACAACCATTCCCAAACGTTCAGACATGAAGAATCTACAGCAGAAACTGAAGGCAGAAGTAGCAGAAGTCCAGGTCACACTTGAAGAAGACATCTGTGAGAGGTCATCATTCTCGACGTTCTCAGCCACACACCTGATAACATTCTAACATTCTAAATCTAGAGGAAGCCCACAAGAAAAGCCTAAGCCTACAGGAAACCTACAAGAAGAACAACACTGGTGTGCAACACCTTGAACAACACTGGTGTTTTCCCAGTCATCTGGTGTGAACAACGCCACATTTGTGATCAAATACGCCAAAACTAGCAAACAGAAACCACTCTGAATCATTATTAATGTTGACTTGTGACGCTGTTAAACACTAGAGAGGCAGGTTGTATCTCAATTATAAACACTTCTCTAACACTCTCAATTATGTCATTACTAAAGTAAAAGTTATCGTTACTAACATTACCACTAACTACTACTGTTACTACTAATACTGTTACTACTACCACTACTATTACTACTACTAACTACTGCTAGTAATAATAACTAGTACTACTACTGCTACTAACTATTACTACCACTGCTGTTACTACTATCACTATTACTACTAACCACACTACTAATTAATACTACTATTATTATTATTATTAACTACTACTACTATTACTACTAATTACTACTACTATTACTACCAATTACTACTACTATTACTACTAAGTACTATTACTACTACTAAATGCTATTACTACTGCTACTAACTTCTACTACTACTACTACTACCACCACTATTACTACTATTACTACTACTACTGCTACTAACTACCACTATTACCAAACTACTATTATTACCACTAAATACTACTATTAAAACTAACTACTACTATTAAAACTAATACTCTGACTACCAACTGCTACTATTTCTACTACTACCGTTTCTACTACTATTACTACTAACCTATTTCTACCAGTTAACACTACATGAGTACCAACATTACTATTCTACTCTACTCAAATACACTTCTAGACTGGCTCGGTTCCCGCACTTCACTTAAACTTGTTGATGTACTGTATCACCCTGGGTTTTACAGTACTGTACTACCTGTGTGTACAGTCTGTATCTCCCTGGGTTACATGCTGTACTACCCTGTTGTACATGTACTGTAACCCGGTTGTACATGTACTGTACCCTACCCGGTACTGTACTGTATCTACCCTGGGTGTTACATGTACTGTATCTACCCGGGTGTACATGTACGGGTATCTACCCTGGGTTTTAACATGTACGGGTTTCTACCCTGGTGTCAGTCTGTATTACCCTGAGTGTACATGTACTGTAATACCCTGGGTTGTACTGTACCTGTATCTACCCTGGTGTACATGTCTGTATCTCCTGGGTGTTCCCTGTACTGTATCTACCCTGGTGATCATGTATGTATCTACCCTGGGGTACTTATGTATCTCCTGAGTGTACTGACGATCACCGGATGTAACCATTGACAGTGTTCCATCACTGTAACCTTGACGTGTACCATCACGTAACCATTGACAGTGTCCATCACTGTAACCATTGACATTTGTACCTCCTGTAACCATTGACAGTGTACCATCACTGTAACCATTGACAGTGTACCATCACTGTAACCATTGACAGTGTACCATCACTGTAACCATTGACAGTGTACCATCCCCGTAACCCTGACATTTGTACCATCACTGTAACCATTGACAGTGTACCATCACTGTAACCACTGACAGTGTACCATCACTGTAACCATTGACAGTGTACCATCACTGTAACCACTGACAGTGTACCATCACTGTAACCATGACAGTGTACCATCACTGTAACCACTGACGTGTACCATCCACTGTAACTATGACAGTGTACCATCACGAAACCACTGACAGTGTACCATCACTGTAACCACTGCAGTGTACCATCACTGAACCACTGACGGTACCATCACTGTAACCTCGACAGTGTACCATCACTGTAACCACGAGTGTACCTTTCACTGTAACCAATGACAGTGTACCTAACTGTATACCATTTGACAGTGTACTATCACTGTAACCAGTGACAGTGTACCATCACTGTAACCATTGACAGTGTACCATCATTGTAACCAGTGACAGTGTACAACCACTGTAACCATTGACAGTGTACCATCACTGTAACCACTGACAGTGTACCATCACTGTAACCAATGACAGTGTACTATCACTGTAACCAGTGACAGTGTACCATCACTGTAACCATTGACAGTGTACCATCATTGTAACCAGTGACAGTTTTAAAACCCACTGTAACCAAATTGACAGTGTACCATCACTGTAACCAGTGACAGTGTACCATCACTGTAACCACTGACAGTGTACCATCACTGTAACCAGTGACAGTGTACCATCACTGTAACCACTGACAGTGTACCATCACTGTAACCACTGACAGTGTACCATCACTGTAACCATTGACAGTGTACCATCACTGTAACCACTGACAGTGTACCATCACTGTAACCACTGACAGTGTACCATCACTGTAACCACTGACAGTGTACCATCACTGTAACCACTGACAGTGTACCATCACTGTAACCACTGACAGTGTACCATCACTGTAACCACTGAGTGTACCATCACTGTAACCAATGACAGTGTACCATCACTGTAACCACTGAGTGTACCATCACTGTAACCAATGACAGTGTACTATCACTGTAACCAGTGACAGTGTACCATCACTGTAACCATTGACAGTGTACCATCATTGTAACCAGTGACAGTGTACAACCACTGTAACCATTGACAGTGTACCATCACTGTAACCAGTGACAGTGTACCATCACTGTAACCAGTGACAGTGTACCATCACTGTAACCAGTGACAGTGTACCATCACTGTAACCACTGACAGTGTACTATCACTGTAACCAGTGACAGTGTACCATCACTGTAGCCAGTGACTGTAACATCACTGTAACCACTGACAGTGTACCATCACTGTAACCATGGCAGTGTACCATCACTGTAACCTCCGACAGTGTACCACCACTGTAACCATTGACAGTGTACCATCACTGTAACCACTGACAGTGTACCATCACTGTAACCACTGATAGTGTACCACCACTGTAACCATTGACAGTGTACCATCACTGTAACCATTGACAGTGTACGTTCACTGTAACCATTGACAGTGTACCATCACTGTAAGCACTGACAGTGTACCATCACTGTAAGCACTGACAGTGTACCATCACTGAAACCCTCTGACAGTGTACCACCACTGTAACCATTGACAGTGTACCATCACTGTAACCATTGACAGTGTACGTTCACTGTAACCATTGACAGTGTACCATCACTGTAAGCACAGACAGTGTACCATCACTGTAACCTATGACAGTGTACCACCACTGTAACCATTGACAGTGTACCATCACTGTAACCATTGACAGTGTACGTTCACTGTAACCATTGACAGTGTACCACC